CATTAGTAGTAGCAGTTGTACTAGTAGTACTAGTACATCAAGCAGTAGTTGTTGTAGTCGTAGTAGTAATGGTGATGCCGGCGGCGATGGCAGTGACAGTAAGGCCAGCAGTAGTAGTAGTAGTAGTAGTAGTAGTAGTAGTAGTAGTTGCAGTAGCAGGAGCAGTGGTTGTAGTAGTAGTAGTAGTAGTAGTAGTAGTAGTAGTAGTACTCGTAGTAGTAGTAGTAGTAGTAGTAGTAGTAGTAGGAGTAGTAGTAGTAGTAGTAGTAGTAGTAATTGTAGTCGTCCTATTCGTAGTAGTAGTGATCGTAGTAGACGTAGTCGTATCCGTAGTCGTATCCGTAGTAGTAGTAGTAGTAGTAGTAGTAGTAGTAGTAGTAGTAGTAGTAGTAGTAGAAGTAGTAATAGTAGTAGTAGTAGTAGTAGTAATACGAATTGCAGCTGTGGTACTAGAAGTATGAATCGTAGCAGTCGTAGTCGTAGTTGTCGCCGTCTTTCTCGTCGTAGCGATAAGAATACTGGTCGCCCGTGAAAATGATAGAAGTAGTGGTTGCGGCAGTCGTACTCGAAGGTCGTGGTAGTTGTAGTCGCTCGTGGTCGGTCGTAGTCGGTCATAGTGGGACGTAGTACTAGTCCTGATATGTCCTGGTGGTCTTGGTCGTCATGGTCATGGTCGTAATGGTGGTAGTAGTAGTGGTAGTCGTAGTAGTAGAAGCAGAAGCTGTGGCCGCCCGTCAAGTTGCAGTCGTAGGAGGAGTAGTTGTAATCGTCGTAGTCGTAGTCGTAGTCGTAGTAGTAGTTGTAGTAGTAGTCGCAGTAGTTGCCGGAGTAGTCGTAGTAGTAGTACTCGTAGTAGTAGTTGTTGTTGTAGTAGTAGTAGGAAAAGAAAATAGTAGTGGTAGTAGTAGTAGCAGTAGTGGTCGCAGCAGTAGTAATCGCAGTGGTCGTCGTAGCCCGAGTAGAAGTCGTAGTCGTAGCAGTGGCAGTAGCGATCGTAGTCGTAGTCGTAGTTGTAGTAGTAGTGGTGGTAGTAGTCGTAATAGTAGTAGTAGTCGTGGAAAGTTTAGGAGCAGCAGTAGTAGTAGTAGTAGTAGTAGTAGTAGTAGTAGTGGTAGTAGTAATAGTAGTAGATGTAGTAGTAGTAGTAGTAGTAGTAGTAGTAGTAGTAGTAGTAGTAGTAGTAGTAGTAGTAGTAGTAGTCTTAGTCGTAGTCGTAACAGTAGTAGTAGTAGTAGTAGTAGTAGTAGTAGTAGTTAGTAGTAGTAGTAGTAGTAGTAGTAGTAGTCGCCGTAGTTGTAATAATAGTGGTAGTTGCAGTAGCAGTCGCCGTAGTTGTAATAATAGTAGTAGTCGCCGTAGTTGTAATTATTAGTAGCAGTAGCAATCGTACTACAAGTAGTAGTAGTAGTAGTAGTAGTAGTAGTAGTAGTAGTAGTAGTAGTAGTAGTAGTAATAGTAGTAGTATTCGTAGTAGTAGTAGTAGCAGTAGTAGTTGTAGTAGTAGTACTCGTCGTATCTCTGGTAGTGTTATTAGTTCTAGTAGTCGTTGTAGTAGTAATATTAAATGTAGTCATAGTAGTAGCAGCCGTAGTAGTAGGAGTAGTAGTAGTAGTAGTAGTAGAAGTAGTAGTAGTAGTAGTAGTAGCAGTAGTAGTAGTAGTAGTAGTAGGAACCGTATCGGTAGGCATAGTTGTCGTAGCAGCAGTAGCAGTTTCAGTAGCAGCAGTACCAGTACCAGCAGTAGCAGTAGACCACCTATTACTGGTACCGGTCACAGGTAGTAGCAGTAGGTGCCCCCCCCAGAAGGGCAAAGAGGGCCCCAGGGGAGCCCTAAGAGTGACCCACAGGAGCATAGGACAGCCCCAAGACTGTCAACGTACAGTCCATGAGGGTTCGCGAGGAAGTGAAGACGGAAGGTGTCACATGTAACGGCTCTCCTCCGCCTCCTTTTCGTTGTTCATCCCTTTCTCCTTTTCTTCCTCCTGATAATCACCATCCTCACCATGATCATCATCACCATCATCAGCAGCAGCAGCGTCATCATTCTTATTATGTTGACCCGTACCATCGTTATTTCATCATTGCCACAATCGTTTTAAGCAACATCATCTTTATAGTCATCACCAGCATCATCATCACCACAACCATCCTCATCATCTTCCTCATTGCCATCATGCTTATCATTACCTGCATCTCCATCCATATCCTCATCCTCATCGGTTATCACCACCGCCACCGCCATCCTCAGCATCATCAGTCATCATCAGCATCAGCAGCACAAGCTGCATCATGCTGATCATCACCATCAGCAGCATCTTTACCATCATCACCGTCGTCACCATCATCATCATCACCAGCATCAGCACCATGATTTTTATAACCATAATCGCCGTTATTGTCATCGGCGTCATCATCATCGGCATCGCCATCGTCATCGTCATCGTCATCACCACCATCATCACCACCATCATCGTCATCATCTCGTCGAACCGCAACAAACTCTAGGTGAGCCGCAAGAAGCTCCCCCAGAGGCCCCATACATTCTTCGGAAATCCTTAGAAGTTGCATAGAAGTCGCAACACACTCCCCAGAGGCCTCAAGAAGCTCGAAGCTCTTCGGCCCCCTCAAGGAGCCTCTTCTTCCCCCAAGAATGATCTTCGGATGCCCTAAGTCTTAGGGCATCAGAAGATCTTGTTTAGGGCACCTCTTAGGGCCTAAGAGGATCGTTGTGCGGTTGTTATTGCGAAGGCCTTACTGCCGGTGCCGTCGACCCTGAAGGGGAACGACGACAACGGCGGCGGCGGCGACGATGACGACGACGCGGACGTGGTCCAGAGCCCTCATGGATTCTTCTTGGGGTTTCTTCGAAGCGCTCTCAGGGGCCGCTGGGGACAGTCTAGGGGCCTCTTGGGAGCCTCGTGGGGGCCTCTTGGGGGCCTCCTGGGGGCCTCTCGGGGCGTCCTTGATGCCTAGTGGGGGCCTCTTAGGGCCTCTTGGGGGCCTCTTAGGGGCCTCGTGGTTCCTCATGGGGGCCTCTCGGGGCCAAGGGCTCGAAATGTCCGTTCTGATCCCTCGTTTGCCGTCTTGAGGCTCGTCATACGGTTTTTCCTCGCTGTGAGGGGGGCGTATGGGTCTCTTCCTGCAGGCCAGCCCCCAAGGAAAATGTTCAGATGCCCGAGTAGCAGGAGGCTCGCTCGTCATACGTTGTTTATAGGCCGTGAGAGGGGGGTTTGGGTTATTTTCTGGAGGCTAACCACCCCTTCTGCCGTACCCGAGGGTGTGTAGGGTCTGGAGCACCCCTGGCCATACAAACACCCACCAGGCCACACAAACACCCAACGGGCCACACGAACACCTTCTCTCGGGGAGGGGGAGGGGAGGAAGGAGAGGGGAGGGAAGGGGAGGCATGGAGGAGGGACCAGAAGGCCCAGACCCCCTCGCGTCCCGAACAAAAACGACGGGCGTTTTTGTTGAATATTCATTTCGAGTGAATAGTCATTGTTAGCCCGCGCCTCTGGTGTCCATGGGTTTTTTCTATCGAAGTGTTTCTCCCGGAGCTCGCGCCCTGGTTTTTTATAAGTGGAAGTCTTAAGCCTCAGACTGCGTTGTTGCCCCCCCGAACTACAACAACGGCGTCCGCTTGATACCTCCTCGTCCTTCATTGAAGATCGCGATCTCGCGCGAGACTTCCACAACTTATTTACTTAGGGTGCTCCTCCGTTCGCGCCGAGATGGCGTGGATGTCTCGAACGGGGTGCCTGTGGTTGGTTCCCAACACCATCTGCTTTCAGTGCAGATGTTGAGGATGTCTCGGGCGAGGCGGTGGTTTTCGCCCCCAGAAGGGTGGCCGCCAGGAAGTATTGCACTCTTCCGTTCGCGCCCACATGGCGGGGATGTCTCGAGCGGTTTGCTTATTTTGGTTCCCAACATCCTCCGCCTTCGGAATTTACTATGAAGATGTCTTTGGCGAGGCGCTGGCTTTCGCACCCCACGGGGCCCAGATTGTGAGGATGTCCCAGATTTGGTTATGCTCAAATTCATTCGTGCCCATACTCTCTCATACTCAGACTCGTACACTTCATACTTGTAGCTAGACTCACTCACACCCAGACTTGCGCACACTCAACCTCACTCACAATTGCGCCCACCCGCCCTCAGACTCATTCGTAGTCAAGCTCACTCGTACGCTGACCCACTCAGAATCAGACTTACTCACGCTCATAATCACTCACACTGAGACCTACCCACCCTCATATTCATTCGAAGCCAGACTCACTCGTACTCAGACCCAATCACTGATTCAGGCTCGTACTCGTTATACGCATACTCATACGCATCCACACCCAGAGTTACCCATACTCAGGCTCACTCCCACCCAGACGCACTCATTTTGTTTCAAGATTCTTGTATCACTTCTACTGGTGGATGGTGGCTCGTTTTCAACATGTGGCTCTTGCCGTAGCGCCGCACACATTTGTTCTAACAGTTCGCAACAACTTCACTGATGGAGGGCGGCTCCTTTTCGAGATGTGATTCTCGCTTCAATGCCGCGCACATTCGCTTTAAAAGCTTGCAGCACTTAGGATTCGTATCGTTGAAGTTTCCAGAATTGCCTTCTCGCGCGATTGAGGATGGTCAGGACGCAACAGTCACGTTGATTCGGCACGTTGGAGTCCCAGGAACTGCGTTCCGGCACGTTTTTGGGTTGTTAGAACGAAACAGTCACTTTGATTCGGTTTGGCACGGCTGAAAATTCTCACACAGTCATGGGGCATTGACCGCACTGCAAGTAAATTCATGCAGGGATTGATGAAGAAGGAATGCGGGAGGGATTGTGTACTCCAACGCCGTTGATACGTTTTGGGTTCACACTGGTTCTTCTCCTCCTCCTCCTCATCTTCCTCCTCCTCTGTCTCCTTCTCCTCCCTCTGTGACTGCGGTGAGTTTCAGAACAGCGACGACGACGACGACGGCCCGCCGCCGCCGTGCCTGCCTACGAGGCAGCGGGGGGCGCCAAGCGCGTGGTCGCGGGCGGCTGAGCGCCAGGCCTCCCTGGGAGCACGCGCGCGCCCCGCCACGTGCGGTGTGGTTGGCGTCCCGGCGCGGCGCGCGGCACGGCTTCCCCGAGCATGTCGGCCCTTGGTGCGCGATGTGTCGGACGGTCTGGGCTTCCCAGATGGGGTCCGAGTAGATAGCGCTTGAGCGTTTTAGGTTCGAAGTTTGAGAATTATGGGCGTTTCCGACGTTTTTAGCCGGCTTTCTTGCCCGGGGATGCACTCCAGCGGCTGCGCCTCACCGAGTGTTTGGGGGGTGCCCAGCTCGGCCCGAACGGCCCCTGGAGGCCCAAGTCGGAAACCACCTCGCACGAGTGGGGTCGGAGCAGATGGGGTCGGAGGGTCGCGCCGCATCGCCGATGCATCGGCGATGCGGCTCGATGTGGAGCCCGATGTTCTCCGCGCCGACGGTGCCGATGCATTGCCGACGTCGCCAATGCATCGTCAATGCATTGCCGATGCATCGGCGGCGCATCGGCGATGCGGCGCGATCCTCCGACCCCATACACTCGGACCCCATTCGGGCGGCCTCCACGGACGGCCTGGTCCACCCCAGGGGAGGGCTGCTTGGTATCGCTCGGACGTGTGCATTTTTTCTCGGCGAGGACCATCGACGAGCATCCTGGATTTAATTCAGGATGCTCATCGATGGTCCTCGCCCGAGGAACACTGCACGGGGAAGAATGAGGGGGCGAGAAAGGGGGGGAAGAGGGCGGGGGGAAGAAGGAGCCCTTTTCGGGCCCCAAAGACCCCCTTCTGGGTCCTAAGGGCCCTTGTAGGAGCCCAAAAGCGCATCTTTTCGGCAGCCCTCGCTGCCCCCCCCCCATGTTTCGTCTCCTCACTCATCGCCACCCAAGGTTTCTCAGAGTCCCGGTTTATGGGGCACGCGATGTAAGAAATTGCCCCGCCATCGGGTGCCCCACGAGAAGTTCTTATCTGGGTCTGTAGACGCCTTCGGCGCCTTTTGAAGCTCAAGGTCGATGAAGGGCGTTACCCCAGAGTTTTGTTCTCGTAGCAAGATGTATTATCGTATACGTCTACTGTAGATCGAGAACCGAGGCTGTTGGACGTTATGTGAACTTTCTTCTGACGCCTCATGTGGGCTTCTCGTCGCCACGGCCGGATGCCCTTGACATTCTGGCAGACCGCACTTTGGGCGAGAGGGGAGCGCCTTTCAAGAGGTGAAAGGAGGTTTCGATATTCGAGGATCGATGGAATTTGATGCGCTCTTCCATTCGTCCACTGCTCCGGGAGGCTTCTCGTCGACACTGCTGGATCCACTTCGCAATTCTGTTCAGAATGCCCCCCTGGACAGATCCGCGGCCCGATGATTGAGAAGAGGGGGGAGGAAGAGGAGGATGAGGAGGAGGTCCCAGAGTTCAACGTCTTGACAAAATCATGACAGGGTGGGTTCGCCGCTTGCGGCATCCGGGTGTGCTTTCCATTCTCTGGGGATATACAAAACCACGGGATGAAGAGCGTACAGAGGAACAGGGTCTTTTTGGAAGGCGACGATGACAACAGCGAGAACGAGGGTGCAGTGTCATCCCCGGCGAAACCCGTCTCGTCCTTCTGCCGCCATTCCCCACCTCTTCTGCCTCTTCTCCTCCTCCCTCTTTCCTTTTCTCCGCGTCCCCCCTTCTCTCTCATCCCTTGTCCTCCCTCATCCCCATCCCTCAGGATGCAGTCCCCGTGAGGTTTCAGCATCGGCCGAATCGGCCCTGGCATTTCAAATTTCTTTGGACCTAACCAGGTTATTCAAGGCTTAATCAAAACCATTCTGGCTTACTCCTGTTTGATAGTGGGCATTGACTAACCTAATCCAGCCTGATGGCACCCGAGTCTTGCTGTATCGTCGATTACCGTGCCCGCAAAGACCTCCCAAGAGCTGGCTCTTAGCATCCCGATGATGACGATGGCGATGGCGATGACGATGACGATGACGACATCGTCATCGTCATCGTCATCGTCATCATCGGCATCGTCATCGTCCCGTCCCGTCTCCCTTCCCTCTCCCCTCCCAGCCAGCGCGTCCTCCTTTTCCAGCATGCTCCCAGCGGGCGGCCCAGGACCGCTCAGAACACCGATGTTATGTTCATGGGGCTCGAGCTAAGCGGTTTTTGGGTAATTTCTTGGACCTTTTCGCCTTGATTCCGTTCTACAGCAAAGGTAGAACGAAGACAGAACAAGGGATAACGAATACAGCACGAAAACGGAACACGCTGTTTAGATCGTGCCCTGGTTGATACTGTGTTGCCGGAAGGACGTGCTGGCAGGCGTACAACTTTCAGTCAATTCGGCGGCCTCCCTTCGTTGCCGGTTGCAGTGGCGGGCCGAGCCTGGTCCGAGCCAATGCTTGAATTCTGTTTCTTGCAGGTGTGGGCGCACAGGAGCCTTGGCCCGCATGCACGGAGGTGCACAGGTGGGCGCCACGTAATTCGGTAATGGCCGCAGCTGGAATTCGTTCTTTCTGTCTGGAGCGGTAAGTCGTAACAGCAGGGCAATATCAATGTGAAGCGAGGGTGGGGGAGGACGAGGGATGTTATGACATTGCTTTGACCGCGTCTGGATCCGCTATTCTCGTCTTCAGGCGGCTTCTCTTGGAGTTGCCGGTGAAGCAAGGCTCGGCGAGCTCGCCTCGTCGAGCACCTCGTGGGCAATCCACGGGGTTAGTACGAGTTCAGCGGGCGTAGTTAGTGCGCCTGCGCGGCGCTTTCCCTTCTGTGTGTGTGCGCGCCTTCCCCTCCTTAAGGCAAGCTCTCTCCGCCTCCTACGTCATCGGTGCGCAGCTGCGGCGTGGCCGTGTCAGCACGCGAAGCGCGCCGCGCGTCTGCTTCATTCAGGGCGAGTCCACGCACGGGGTGGTGCTCTGCGGAGCGCGGGCATCAAAAGTTGCCCTGCAGCCAGGCGGCGGGGCGTGACCCTTTGGAGGCTGAGCACAGGATGAGGAGGAGGATCAAGAGCGGCAGCGGCGGAGCGAAGGAGGAGATGGGAGGGCACAACATAAGGAGGAGGCGGACGTAGAGCGGAGGAAAAGCGAGGAAGAACGAGGAGGAGGAGGAGGAATACGGAAATGTAGGGCGCGCGGGAACGGGAGACGAAGGAGGAGAGGTGAAGAGGAGGAGAGGATCCGGTAAAGAAAGGAGGAGAGGTGAAGAGGAGAGGAGGTGAGGAGGGGAAGTGATGAGAAGAGGTGAGAAGAGGTGAAGAGAAGAAGGAGAAGTAAAGAGGAGGGGAGTGGTGAAAGCTAGAGCGATGAGGATGAGGATCAGGTAAAGCAGCAGGATAGGATATGATAGGATAGGATTGGATAGGACCGATCGCGAAACGGACTCAGGCTACCACTCCCGAGTGTGGTATTCGACCCGACCCTGGGAAGAGGCTATTTTTTTCGGGCCATTTGCCCTTACTTATTCTGCTGGTACGGACTTGACGTGGGGGGTGGGAGGGGTTCCTTCAGTTTGCCTCCGGGTGTATTCCGAGAGCCACACAAAAGTGGAGAGGGCTTCTTCATTCAGACATTCCCATGACAACCACGCACATTGCATAACCATAAGTTTGATGTTTGATGTTATAATGTGTTGCGAGCGTGTGTGTGTGTGTGTGTGTGTGTGTGTGTGTGCGTGTGTGTGTCACCCATCCTCCGATGTGTAAGGCCCGACGCTTCCGCAGACGAAACAGTTTGGCATCCTGAGGGGCTAATTCGAAACATTCGCCGCTCCGCCAAGGCAAGCCGTGAGTCGGGCATGGGATGCACTGCCGCGAGACCGCAAACAGTCTTTCCACCATCGGGTAGAACGTGGGGGGAGGCGAGAACACGCACAAACATCAGCAGCAGAGGGAGACGGGTGGCGCTCATGTTTGCCTGCATTGCTTCGAGGTTGGCTTTGGGCAATCAACGACGGACGAGCTTGGCCTTGTGCTCCGCCGAAGCAACACTATTCCTCATGGCGGCATCGAGCCTGGCCCCCATCTCGTCAGCTACAGCATTGCCGAGTGCGAGCTATTGCGGACACCTCGAACGAACTAGGTCGTTCGCGTTTTCATGCAGGGCGACCCGCAAAACTGCGATGACGGACGCAACTTGGGTGGAACAGAGTTTGCCCAGTTGGGCCCACAAGTCTGGTAAGATGAAACAAGAACGATCGCGATGCCAGCCTACCATCGCCGCTTCGTTATCAGTGTCGTAAAATTATGGCCCCGACGTGCATTGTATGGGCGCGGGGATGCCAGCAACTCGCCCCTGGGAACCGATTGGTTGGGCTCAGGGAGGGGGCTTCGCAGGGTCCCAGAGACCACACGCAGGCGAAAGTTAGAGACCGAGGTCGCTACGATGCGAACGCACCTAAGGTGAGGGGTCCCAGAGTCTGGGCCCCCACTCGCGTCACCGAGCGGAAGAGATGGCTCCTCAAGGGTCTTTCGGCCTGAGGAGTCGGGCCCCAAAGGGCCATCGAAACCGTCGCGCAGCCACTGAGGGGAGGAGGAAGGAGGAGGTTCGGCGGTCCAACTCGCTGGCGACATGCCGCGCAGCCAAAATCATGTTTCCGATTCGCGCTGGGTCATCGAATCCGCCGCCAGGCAATCTGAGCCCTTGAACGCCTGAGCGCTCACATTCTTGCTGCAAAATCAGTTTCGGTGGTCTTCCGTCTCAGGCTGCAAACGACACCTGGCGTAGATCGGGCCAACCTCCCCGGCAACCTCATCAATAATTTAGTGCCAGGGCCATGCGCCTGCGACCGCGGTGCAAAACATGATGTCCGCCTGCTGGCGGCCCTCGGGGCCGATTTCAGATTGCAGATGCACTGGCGGTAGGACGAGTTGTCGACCCCATACCTCCAGCCCAGGCCCGCAAACATGAGAGGCAGCTTGGAGGGGCTGCCACTGCTGCCGGCAAACAGTCCACCCGAAGTCTGGCAACGGACCAGGGACATCGGTGTCTGGCCCATGACCCTCATCAAGTGGCATCGCTCGGACGCATGAATTTCTGGCTCGGCGAGGGCCATCGAGGAGCGCCCTGCATCTGTCAAAGAAGGCGCCTCACGGAAGCAAAAAGATGCACGAATAATGGACGTCCGAGCGGTGGCGAGATCAGACATGAAAGCCCACCCAAAAGGGCCCCGCGAGGGCCCGGCGCCCCACTTCGGCGGCCGAGACAGGGGCCGCGCTGCACCTGATGGGGAGGCATGGGAACGCGGCTCTCCATGGGCCTTCTGACGCGCCTGCCACGCTGACTGGGGCCGAGGGCGGCGCGCTTCTTTGGCGCGGCGCACTCATGCGGCGAGGCCACGTGCAGGCTGGCTGAGGCCGTGCAGCGCCGGAGGAAAAATATGTGAGTAGCAAAACATGTTCGCTTCCCTTCGCGCGTGGGCCTGCTGACATGCCCGCCGCGCTCGGCGACGGCACCCCGGGGGCCCTGGTCCAGCGGGCGGGGCCCCCTTGCGCCGCGCGCCCTTCCCCGTTCGTTTGCTGGGTGGCGGCGCGCCCGCCCCCCCCCCCCCCCCCCCCTACCCCCTGTCCCCGTCGGTCCAGCGCGCTCGGCCTTGCCCTGCCCCGGGCAGGGACAGGCCGCGCCGACTGGGGCCGGGGGGGGCGGCTTCCCCCCCGACGCGCGGGGCATTTCCATTGCGGCCGGGCGCGACCCCCTAGGGCGGCGAGCTCGGCAGCGGCCCTCGGCCGCGCCCGCTCGCGCTCGAAGCGCGGGCCCCGCGAGCCAGGGCGTTGGCCGCGGGCGAAGACCCTCGCGCATTAATCGGCACTGGCGCCCGACGCGAGGCGCCTGCCCTTCTTGGCTGAGCTGACCGCCCGCGCCGTGCGACGGCGCGCTGGGCGCGAATACATTGCGGGCGCGATGCCCAATATGCCCGCTGGCTGCGCCGCCGCCGACTCCAACCGCGTGGCTGGCGCGCGTCGGCGCCAGGCATGGCCAAGGCGAGCCATCTTGAGATGCGTGGCCGCGCCCACGGTGACCCGCTGAGTGGCCCCAGCGTGTCTGCATGCGCCAGCGCGGTGCCTGAACGTCGCTGGCAATGTTGGGGCGGCGGTGATTTTCCGACGTTTCAGGGCTGCAGCTGCAAACGTGGCGTCGCGATGGCCCGGGAAAACGGCGACGCCATCGAGCGCTCCGCTGGGCTGTCCTCTTCCAGCCAGATGCCGGCCCCTGAAAGCGCCCCGGGCCAAACGCGAGACATGTTGCGAGAGATCGTCGGCAAGCAGCCTCGCGCCGACCGCCGGCTTGGATGTCGGGCGACGAGCTGGGATGAGATCTGTCATGGAACGGGCGGGGCGCGGGCCGCTGCGGAGTGGCCGGGTCGCACTTCGGCTTGGCCGACGCGCCTTTGAGAAACGTTGGCCCCCCAGGCCGGCGCCGCCCCAGCGCGCTTGCGCCGCGCGCGCGTCGCCCAGCCGGGGGCGACGCGCGCGCCGAGAAATCCTATTGCGCGCGCGTCGTGGCGAGCGTTTTCTGGCCACGCCGCTCGGGAAGCGACGCGCTGCAAGATGGGCGTGCTATATGTTTGGGTCGGGCGCGCGCCTCCGAGGACAACGCATGGCATCGGCGTGTCTTTGCGCGCCCCATCAGCTAGCGCGCGCGGCGTCGCGCGCGGCTGCGGCCCCAGGCGCAAGATGCGCGACGGCGCGCCCAGAGCCGGGGCCGCCTTGGTCCGGCGGGGCCCGCGTCGCCTGTCGCGAAAGGTCTGGGCGTCTGCGATTCGCGCCCGAACGGGGCGCCGTGGAAAGAATGGGCCCCCCCGCCGAGGATCCGGGGGAATCCGCGTCGCAGGGCAGAGTTGCCCAGCGCCGCCGCATCCCAGCGGGGTCTGCGCCACCGCCGCCCGGCCCTGCGCCGTGGGCCCCCGCGCCTTCGACCGCGTCTTCGGGGTCGCCCCGCGAGGCCGATCGCGACGTCGCACCCCGACTTCGTTTTCGCCGCGTTCAACGAGGCGGCGAGCTCGTCGAGCTCCTCGGGGCAGCCGCTCCAAGCCCGGCTGGGGCAGCCGCTCCGCGCCCGACGCGTTCGCGGCCGCATCTCGCGCGCGGCCCCCCGCAGTTGCGCCCCCGCAAGGGGCGGGGGCTCCGCCAGCTCGGCTGCCCCCCTCGCGGACGTTCGGCGCGGTCGATGTCGCGGTCGCCCCGCAGATCTCGTCGACGAGGCCGTTGCCGGACCTCATGGTCCACTATGTCATCGGGGTGCTGTAGGATTTCGCCGACGACGCGCGGCCCTTCTGTCGGCGGGGGGGCTCCTCGGCGCCCCCGTGTAAGATCGGGGCAGCAGGTTCTGCCGCTATCCAAGTGCGAAACTCATCGAGCGTTGCTCGTGGAGCCTCGCCCCTGGCCTTCCTGGGGCATTTCTCTGTCGCCGCCACCGCGCCGCGAGGCGCCGCCGACGACCCGCCGGGAGGATCGCTGCGGGCGTGGCCGAGCCATTTCCATTTGGACTCGACGAGAACGGTTCTGGCTTCTTGTCCAGAACCAGTCGGCGACGCGACCCAGTCAGCGCTTCACATTGCATTTGACCAGCACCGTTGATTGCATGATGCAACAACTCGCGGGGATGCGCGCGCGCGTCGTTGACCGCCGCGCGATGCGCGGGCCCTATAGAGGAAGGACTATGGCCCCTTCTGTCACACGAACCTCTTGATGGCGAGCGCGCTACCCATCAGCCCCACGCGAAGTCGCGCCAGCGCCGCGGGGGACATGATGCGCAGACATGGCAAGTTCGACTGCCTCCGCCCAAGACGCACGCGCGCAGCTGGCGCGTTCCACCCGGCGAGCCACCACGTTGTAAGCGAGAGGCTCTCAGACCCAGACCTCCACGCGTTACAATTTTATTGCAATGCTCGTTTGAGTTGTTTGTTTGGGATATGTTGTGATTTTGCGTTCCACGTTGGCTTGAATTGTTTTTGACTGACATGAATTGTTTTGCTTCTTCAGATGTTGC